TTTTTTTTTTTTTTTTTTTTTTTTTTTTTTTTTTTTCTGAGTTGAGGATTAAGAAACAAAATTTCATTTACGATGAAATTTACTAAAAGACTTTTAATTTCTAGTTATTTGTAGATTACATCTCATATTGATTGTATTCCTATGTGATATCCTTTCTATTCTCTCACTGTTGGTCATCTTTTATAAATTCAGAAGCAGGCAGGCAGAATAAAGCTCGCTAAAGCTCTGACAAGTAGAGGAGATGATGCAGGGCCCTGGGTTCAACCATCCTTAGTTGCAGTTGCTCGTTTTCATAGATCTCGTCTAGCTTCAGCTCCTTATCCTTCGCCATATGGACAATCAAGAAAAGCCACGTCCAGATTCTCAGGACTGAAAAATAAGAATATGCAACGTCCTAACAAAGTTGCACGTCCATCGTCTGGGGATTCTATTGGTTCTGCCATCGTTGAAGCAGAAAACACTTTGGAAATAGATGTACGTTTCCTTGCTTAGGGCGTAGTTCATTGTTATTATGACTTCCATTAGCCATTTTTTAGGACTATTTCTATGGCTAACCTGTAATTGGTATGGGCCTTGCCGGCATGAGTTTTCATTTAGATCATTGAGAAGGTCTAGAATGCTAATTATATCTAATTTTTGTTTATCTTCTAGATCCATGAGAACAACAAGGAATTGAAGACAAAGCTTAAGGAGTTTCTGCGTGAGAAGTCTGATGTTTTCAACTCTAATGATTCAGAAGTAGACAAGGTTTGTATCTAGTAATGCTAATAGTCTAATCATAGTTGTATAGTACAATAATCAATGTGTTAAAGTTCATCTCGTAAGCTGAATGAATGTTGGCGGTCAGATTAAATTGGGCATACCTGGGTGGAGAGAGAGGTATTATAATGAGAAGTTTTCTGGAAATACTCCCGAGGAACTCGATGACATACGAAATGATGTTGTAAGTTATTAAGCGAATTTCTAGTGATTTCTTAATTTTTTTTATCTTCTGGAATTGTAGGCTAATTTTTGTTGTTTTTCTGGCAGGTTTTGAGGTACACAGAAGGCCTATGTTGGATTATGCGCTATTATTACGAAGGCGTTTGTTCTTGGCAATGGTGAGGTTTTTATTCTCGTTTCTTTGGCGCTTTTGCCATCTTTTATTTTTCGTGTTATTGCTTATTATTGTCTAAGATAAATGGACGTCTTAAAATGAGTAGCAGAATCTAAATTGAAACCGGTTGTTATCTTCTCATCAGTTTTCCTCTTTCTAGATTCTGCTACAATTTTTTTTACCTGCCTATGTGTCTCTAGCACATCGTTAATATGCCCTGACCTCGTAATTAAAAAGGATAAAATAATAAAAATTGAGAAAATTTATTAAAAGAAGTTCTAAATGACATGACAATCATGGGTTTGGACTGCATATCTTTACGCTTGTGTAATCTCAATTACATATCTCTGACAAAGTGAATGTATTTAGTTCGTATTCTGGTGATGTTCATTTTGTTGTTTACTAATGCCATTTTCTTCTTCAGGTTTTATCCATATCATTATGCACCATTTGCTTCTGATCTCAAAGGTCTTGATAAGCTGAATATATCATTCACTCTAGGCACTCCCTTCAAGCCATTCAATCAGCTACTGGGTGTCTTCCCTGCTGCTAGGTCTGGTGCTAATTTCTTTCAAATTAAATGGAATTTCCATTTATTAGAGGGTTCTTACATTGAACTTTATGCAGTGCACACGCACTCCCCGAGCAGTATCGGAAATTGATGACGGATCAGAACTCGCCTATTGTTGATTTCTATCCTAATGGTACAAAATCTGTTTAAAAATGACTGCGTTATGGTTATCAAGTTTTGTCTCCCCTCTAACTTTTGTTTGATGCGTCAGATTTTGAAGTGGATATGAATGGTAAACGGTTTTCCTGGCAGGTTGGTTGCTTTCACCCCTTATTTTATTCTTTAATTTGATGAATTGGCTTTAGTTATGTTATGCGTTGTTGCTTCTTTTTTAATAATTTGTTCAAACTATTCTGCAGGGAATTGCAAAGTTGCCTTTCATTGATGAAACCCGCCTTCTTGCAGAGGTTGAAAAAGTCGAGCATACATTGACGGTGTGTTACTAACTTGTGGTTCAGACATCCTTGATGAGGTCTAGATGATCCATATCCTTGTCTCTTTGAATAATTAACTTTTGACATTTCTGCAGCAAGAAGAAGTGCGGAGAAATAGTGTGATGTTTGACATGCTTTTTGTCACATCTTCTCACCCCCTTTCTGTTAGTATATACTCGCTCAATGACCGCCGTAAGCTGACGGGAAGAAAACGTAATCGGGTTAAGGAAAAAATAAACCCTGAACTTAGGTTTGTATCATGTAAAAATCTTTCCTTTATGAGCATATTAATATGATCATGATGGGCACAATCACACCTTCCCCTTGTTAGCATGCAAGTTCATCAAATCTGATAAACTTAGATATGGTAGCTGAGTTAACTTTAAGACAAATATGTATTTTATGGTTCATTTTGATGCTTTATACAAGTTTTTGGGAAGGTTCTCTGGACTCCGATCTGGTTTCTAGGAAACTCCTTGGGTTCTTTACACCATTATGCTTAATTTCTCATGGAAATTTTGTTGATATTCACGTTCTTGGTAGAAGTTAGTTAATTCTAATTTGATTAAGCGTTAACTGCAGTGAAGGAATGAATGGTTATCTCTTTCCATGTTCGGGAGAGTTGTGCCCTCAAATATTCAGGTCTCCAGTTGAGGGCATGGAGGATATTATGAACAACCAAGTCATGTAAGAGTCTTGAGTACTTTATTTGATTTAACAAAACTACTCATCACGGTTTCTCCTTTGTTTCTTTTTCTTTCAAATCTAGATGTGCTATATATCGGCTTCCGGACCCACACAAGCATATCACGAAACCGCCTGCTGGGGTGAACTTTCCTCCAAGGGTACTTTATATTTCTTTTAGCTTATATTGATGTTGAAACACACCAATATCCTGCTGTTGTTTAATTCACTTGCATGTCTTGCGGCAGACGGTGAGCATGAGAGACATGAAACCTGAACCTGGTTTACGGCATAAAGATACGCAACGCCACGACAATGGAAGATGCATGGGAGACACGAGGCCTGAACCTGGTTTGCAGCGTAAAGATATGCAACGCCACGACAATGGAAGATGCATGGGAGACACGAGGCCTGAACCTGGTTTACGGCATAAAGATAGGCAACGCCACGGCAATGGAAGATGCAATGAGAACGCAAGGTAGTAGTATACCTACAGAAACCGGAAGAATTTCAATACATTTTTTTTCTTTCTTGTGAGTGTTCTTTCCTTGTTTTTCCAGGCCAAATGCTCCTGGAATCATTTCAGGTCGACTATTAGGGGATGCATCACGTAGACTTGTTAACAGCTTGCTGCTGGTTAGGAGGGGAGATTCTAAGGTTGAGGACAATTGTCAGGCACTCCCACTTCCCCATACGGCACAGCCCTGCATCCTTGGGCAACCTCCTCCTTCACAGGCTCAAGAAGAAGACTACAGAATGGCAGTTGTGCCAGACCGAACTATTCCGACACAACACAACGTGTAGTCAACGAGATCATGGGCAACATCTGTCACTCCGAGGCCATCACCGCAATGTGAGAACTCATTCCATGATCACAAGATCAAGCAGAAGAATACAGAACCAGGTGCCAGACCAGACTATTCCAAAGGTCATCACGCCACCTAGATCGAGTACCGTCAGCCACTCCCAAGTCGCCACAGAAAAATGAGACCTCCTCACTCACACAATTGTAGAGCACACAATCAGAGAATCGTGAGGCTTACTAACCCATGGACATCAACATTCTTGTGAGGTTTACGACGACTTGCCTCCCTATCCTCGTAATAAACCTACATTTTCCACCATCCCAACTTATGAGTGTTTACAATTACAATCAACTGTTGGAAGCTTTGGGTAGTAGTGAGCAAATTGGCGATTGGTGTCATGGTCATGTTTATCTAGGGCGTGTTGCCTGTGGTTATATATCTATGTTATGCCAAACCCTTAGTCTAGCTCATGTTGTATTACTTTGATTTTATGTTAATTATTTTATTATTATATTTGTTGTGGCACAATTATGTTCCTGGAATGCCTCGAAGTGTATTACAGGGAGATGTGACTAGTCTTCAATTCTTTTTACCCGGAGTTGTATGTTATTTAAGCTGTTGTTGGCCCTTGCTTGCTTACTTGCTAGCCTATAATGTTGCTTTCAACTCTTTCAAAAATCTCTTTGCCTCTCTTTTCTAAGACTTTCTCAAAGCGGGGTCATGACTTCGGCATTTATTGTTGGTGTCAATGACAACATGATCCTGAGTTGGGTTGACTCACTTAGGGGTGGTAGTAATTATTGCAGAATCACTTTAGAAAGTTGATTTATTTAACATGTTTATGACAACAACTATACAAATACCACATCGATTGACTGGTCGACATCAAAAAACAAATGCTATATTTACAAGAAAGTCCCTAACAATCCTTGGTATTTGAACGAGTGCGTTAAAAGAGATTGTCCCATAGATTGACACGATCGTCATAGTAGCTGGCTGCCTTGATGGGATGCCCATCTAGGAATTGATAGAAGATAGCCATAAGAGGGATAGCTCAGAGGGCTTTGTTGCTCAAATAGAGGACAGTGCGATACTCACGTGGAAGCAACCGTAACAACAGTACTATCTCCCCTAAAAGTGGGAGAGGAGATAGTGGGAGATCATAGAAAATCACTTCAATCGTGGATCAATAGAGTATTTGAGTGCCCCATGAGAGCGACCCTCTAGGCCTTCCAAGCCACATTAGAAGCAGACTGAGGCAGCAGTAGAAGCTGAAATGCCATCATCAGAAAGAATAGACGACCTTCTTATAGGGGCCTTGAAGTTTTTTGTCTGCCCTCCAAAAGAAGGTAGGGGAATCAAAAGAGCGGGTTAACCATAAATTGACCAAGAGTACTATGTTTAACTCTGGGACCACCCACAACTTTATATCCCTATCCATTCTAGGAGTGGCAAAGAGGATTGCCCTCAAGCTGGGAACCTAAAGTGGACAAACCGACTTCGTGATTGTCAAGATGGACAATTTTGGTGTCGTAAGTTTATGTCACAAGTTATGGTGCCCTCAAAGACAACTTTATGTCACAAGTTATGGGGCATTCAAATTTCTAGTCATGTCCTTTGACATCACGAATGCTCTAGCCACATTTTGCACTTTAATAAACCTAGTCTTGCACGAATAACTTGATCGTATACTTGGACAATATAGTAGTTAAAGTTAAACCTTAGAAGGACATCAAGTTCACTTATATAGTTTGTCTTCAAAAAAAAAAAAAATTGGAAAATAACTAACTATATGTTTTCACCCCAAGCAAGGTTAAAAGAAATATAAGAAAATATTGAGAGGACTCAGACAGAACAAACCAACAAGGTTAAAAGAAGACCTAAGAAAATATTAAGAGGATCCAGAAAGAACAAAGAACCCAAGTAAGCGATTTCAATACCCTAACAATAATAGTTTATCATTCAATCAAGATGAAATTTCATAATAAACTTTAGGCTAGTTTTTAATTTTTAAGCAATCAAAATGTTACCTTAAATTAAATTAAGATGAACTCCTAATAAGCTCTTGATTTGTAAGTAACTAGGAGGTTACCTCAAGAACATGTATGAAGTAAGCTTATCACACCCATGTCCTAAAGTAACACTACACAAGCTTAACTATGCTAAGACACGAAGTTTGCTAAGTACCACTCAAGCAATAGGAATCTAGGATAAGATTTAAGAATAAAAACTAAAGACAAGAACATGACCAAGAATAAGTATGGTACCCTAGCATAGCTTAAGAACATGTTAAGAGCTTACAAGTTGATTACTGGCTGAGTTTTTATAGTCACTCCATGTTTTCCATGATTTTTAGGTAGTTAAGGAGGTAGGTGAGGTCATGAATGGACTCTAGACCAAATGTCATAGACAAGTCTTACCCATAATCTTGAACATTGTTTTGTTTTAATTTAATGTTTTTGTGTTTGTTCCTTATTTTGTAATTTAGACTACTTAGGTATGAATTCTATTTTGATACAACGTAAAAGTGTGGTATATTATGTTTGAAATTCTCTTTGTTTTTATTTTGCAAAAAAATTTATTCGTTTTACACCATCAAGTTAACCCTAATCACGATCCATGAGATGATAGATATGACATATAATTGATTGGCTAAGTTACCCATGGATACCCATGAGATGATAGATATGAAGAAGAAAAGAACTTTCTGCTTCACTATAGACTTAAGAGAGGATATCGTACAAGGGTCAGTGGTGGCCCATGCCTCAAGCAACTATTACACCACCCTCAAAGCTGTCACCTTACTAGACATGTATAAACAACAACCAAAAATGGGGGAGAAGGCTAGTCAGAGCACAAAAGAAAGTCCTCAAACAAAAACCACCACAACAAGAGGCTGAAGGACATACCTCCATGCCAAAAATGTCAAAAAACTTCCTTATCGGGAATGTAGGGTAGGAACTAACGCCTGTTTTAACTGTGGTAAGGGAGGCCACCGGTTCTTTGAATGTCCACACCTAAGAAATCAGGACAACAGACAAGCATGCCACACCAAGAGAGACAACACCAAAATCAGAACCAGATGGGCCAAGGGGCCAGTTTTGCCCTTTGAAATTTCGTAAAGATGCAAACTCGAGCAAAAAGTGTCACGCATGGCACCTCAGAATTTTGAATTTATCTATGCTCATAGTATGCATCAAAGTATGATATAAGAAGCATGTTATAGAAATTTGAGCATGAAATGAGTTGGTTTGATGTATGTAAGAGCACATTAAGCGTTATGATGCATGTTTATTGAAGAATGAACTGTGGGGCTATAATATGACCGAAATTGAGAGCATACCTTTAGTATGATATAAAACATGTTATAGGAAGCTGGTTATAAATGTTTGAGCATAGAATGAGCTGAGATGACACGTGTTACTATGTATGTTACTGAAACGCGTACGCACTATCTTAAGAACTGAAATTGATGACTAGGTATATATGTTTAGATCGCTATGCTATGTCTCTATTTTCTATGTTTATGATGTATGTGGTTGTAGAGGGACAATTAGGGGTTCGCCAACTAACCTCTAATCGTGAGTTTGATTCGATTTTCAGGGCTCCAGATAACCATATAACTGGCTTATGATATTTTAAGACTTGTGACTGTACCTTGTGTGGACTACGGTGAAGTTTGCCGGTTAGCTTCTTGTAGTGAGTTTGTCACCAGTAGCAGGGTTCAACAGTTGTAGCTTACGAGTTGGTTATGATTATTGTTCATGCATGTGAGTTATGCGATTATACGAGGACAATAGGAGTGTTGCAAAAGCTTTAGTTGCTATGTTTATGTTTTAGTTCTTGAATATTAGATCACTGATATGATCTTATGCCAATATCAGACCACTAATATGATTTTATACTGCATTCTTTGTTTTGACATGATATTCTTTTTCTTTTAGAATTTTATTTTTGTCTTCTATTAAGCATTGTACTGACTATAAATATAGTCATTTTTCACATAATAAACACTAAATTTCCTTCCTCTACAAACTTATCTTCAATAAATTTATCATTTGGTATTAGAGCCTCGTCTCTTTCGCCTGCAGCTAAAGATGACTACTGAAGGCAGATTTGCTCAACCAGCAACACCAAAATTTGTTGGTCACTACAATCATTGGAGCATGTTAATGGATAACTTTTTTCGCTGTAAAGAATATTGGCAAGTATTTAAGTCTGGAATTTCTGCCGTAGCATATGATGCTCGTTACTCAGATGAACAGAAGAAGGAGGTAGCAGATCAGAAATTGAAAAACTTAAGAGCTAATAACTACCTTTTCCAAGCCATTGATTGCTCAATTCTGGAGACTATTTTGGATAAAGAAAGTTCGAAAGGAATTTGGGATTCCATGAAAAAATTCCAAGGAAATACAAAGGTGAAACAAGCACAACATTCCACTCTAGTCCTTGTTGATCCGTACAGGTATTTCTTCAATAAAAGTCCAAACAATTAACTACATGCTCAATGTGCGTTCGAGGGCACGGTTTTCGGGCTTATCAAGCTCTAAGACTCTTAAACTTTGTCGTAGAGGTCTAAAATGAATCCAGATTATAAAAATAAAAATAAAATTTATAAAAATGGCTTCGCCCAGACTTGAACTAGAGACCTTCAATGTGGTAGACTGACGTGATAACCAACTACACCATGACATGATTAGAATCCTCCCTGGAAGGTCAGCCAAACTATAGAGTTAAGCCCAAACTTCCTAGAGCCTAGAGAAAAGCCCGTGAAAACCTACCAGGAACTGGATGCGATGAGAGCCTACAAGTAGGCTTACCGAGTACTTTTTTACTCACTGCATTTTAGATTTCTTTTTCAGGTCTTCGCTAACTGTCGCTCGAGGTGGGGGAGCATCTGAGTTCTGCATTGTCACTTGAGGGCCGTTTATGAGTGTCGACCCAGTCTGTGTACTTTGGGTCTTTTATATTTCGTTCGAAACAGTACCCCAAACCCTTTCTCCATGTGTAACAAACCTTTAACAACACATGTTTGCATTGCCTTTCAATTTGTTCTAGTCGAGGTGTTATTTGATTTTAAGTTGCATTATCTGAATGTTTAATTTAATTTTAATTTTATGTTTATTTTCCTTTCTCTTTTTTTTATTTTCGTCACGGTTTGAGATTTGAAGCCTCGAAAATCGTAACAAAAGACTTAATGACTCTTGGTCTAGTGAAAATAGTCTGTTGGACCAATCAACCTAGACCTCTCATACTAAGTTTAGTTCATAAACTTCTTGGCTAAATCAAGCATATAACATGCTCACAATCATTCCACCCTTGTCTTTGTCAATAAAAGTCCAAAATAATTACATGCTCAATGTGTGTTCGAGGGCACGGTTCCCGGGCTTATCAAGCTCTAAGGCTCTTAAACTTTCTCGGAGAGGTCTAAAATGATTCCGGATTATAAATATAAATATAAAAATAAAAATGACTCTTGGTCTAGCGAAAATAGTCTGTTGGACCAATCAACATAGACCTCTGATACTAAGTTTAGTTCATAAACTTCTGGGGTAAATCAAGCATATAACGTGCTCACAATCATTCCACCCTTGTCTTTGTCAATAAAAGTCCAAACAATAATTACATGCTCAATG